GGCTTCACCCGCTGGCAAACTTCGCAAGCACGGATGAATTTGCGCACAAACTCATACTGGCGAGGGCATTAGAAGTCACGACTTACCGTGAGGTAAGTCTTTTCTCTATTGCGATGCCCACTTGTTGGGGCATCGTAACATTTATACATAAGGCGCAATCTCAAATCATTATGAGCCGGAACGACGACACGAGGTGTGTCGCCGTTGACTGCTGTATAGTACAGCAGTCCATCACGAACAGAATACCGATCGGTGGAGGAGCGGTGTAGAGACAACAAGCTTTTCAAAGCTTGATTACATGGATTGGATACATAATCCATCAACCGCAGAAGAGACTCATCTTCTGCGTATGCTTTCCGCACGTCGTCGAGCAGATTCGACGACGGAAAACTCACTGTTAGCGTCGCGACAGTGAAATCACCTCTACTGTTGGGGTGAGCAGTCGGTTCAAAATCGGGCCGACGCGAAAGATTATTAGCGACGACGTCAATTCGTCCTGTTTTATACTCGACGGAGAAGTTGTACTCTGCGAAGAAAAACAGCCACCTCGCCGTTCGTTGCGAGATTTGTGGAATGTTTATGGCCGTGCCTAACGACGCATGGTCGGTATAATGATGACGGTCCCATCTTTTAAGAGATATACCCAAAACTTAGCCTGTGCATATTTCATGACAAGAAGTTCCTTGTCATGCACTGGGTATCTATGCTCCGCTGCTTGCAGCTGACGCGATTGATAACCGACGACGCACTCAACGCCGTCTAAGTAGTACTGCATTAACGCGCAGCCGATTGCAAAATCGCTGGCGTCACAGATCACGTAGAATGGTCTGTCTTGGTCTGCAATCGCCAAATCAGGCGATTGTATCAAGCTTTTCATGATACCTTCGAGGGAGTGCTGACACTCAGCACTCCATGACCACCTCTCGTATTTCTTTAATAGACGAGAGAGATGTACGGCTGTCCCGGCGTAGTTGCGCGAGTACTTGTGCAAATACGCCGCTAAGCCAAGAAACTTTCGAATTTCATTGAAGTCGACTGGCAGAGGCCAGTTGCTAGTCGCCTTGATCTTTTCGGAATTAGGGCGTACGCCTTTTCACCCACGATGCAGCCAAGAAGTGGTATTTCGTTCGCTGCGAACATGATACACTTCTCTAGGTTTGCGAACAACTTCTGCTCATGCATTAATGTAAGAACCTTCCAGACGTGGATTTTATGAACATCCACGTCCGTCTTTCCATCCATAGCCCGGAAATGGGCTAACAAAATTGTCAGAGTCACTCGGTGCAAAATCTCGCACCGATCGCAACAGATTCGTAACACATCTGTTGAGCGTTGCAGGGGCGTTAATTAGCCCCTAAGGCATCACTAGCTACTCCCAGATAATACCACTGGGGGTGCTCACTGCTGTGTACGGGATGCCCCGTACACTCATGAGGATCTGATAGAATCCGTCCATCAGATTTATGGACAGAAGGTGACACTTTTTGCCATACTATCATTGATGACATCCTTTCTTGGGATCGGCGCTTGAGTCGGTACCGTTGCAGCGTTCCATTTGTTGAGCGCGTGCACTATACGCCACCCTCCTGTGTCATTTCGCACACAGAAGGTTGGAGAGCTGTGTGAGGATGATGATTCCCTCGCAGAGCCAACCGCGAAGCGATCGGCAAATTATTTTGCGATCGCTGCGACCTGTTCACGAGGCAGTGGCCACTGCTTCATGACACAGTACTTCAAACCGTGTTTCAATTTGATTTCGTGCCGAGTACTTTTGTCCTTCGGCAACTCGCATGGCACGGATTCAGGAAAAACATCCCTGCATTTGACCAAATCATTATACAAAGGAGTTGTCTTCAAAGACTCCCAAGATTGAGAATTGTATCGCTCAACCCTGGTCTTATCATCGAGGGCACTTTTTTCCATCGATGTGCTACTGAGAACCCGTTCGTGCTCAGTAAACGCTTGTGTCGACCGAATATCGGCGACGTACTCATCCTCTGTGACGAGTACGCAGATCTGCTTGATCTTGTCGCTACGCAGATCTCGCAAGAATCTTTTAAATTCTGGCGCTGGCAAACTGATTACCTCCGAATCTGACTTTGGAGGTGTAAACAGATCGATCGTGTAAGCGCCTACACTTGATCCGTTATTCCCCAAGACATTCAATGTCTAGGTGTTTCCTGTTAAAACACATTCGCAGGAGGTTGAGAAATCACACCCTCAACATAACTCTCTCGGGAGTAATCACTCTCAGGAACGCAAGAACTATCTTTTAATGCGTGTTCTGACTGTGGGTGTACTACTATGGTCACGTGTTCTTCTATCGACTCTCTTTTTTAGCCAATCGGGCTTGATCTACAATCGACTCTGATAGTCGATCTTGATTGGACGTGTCGTCTATCGTAAACAACACTAATCTCTCTTCTTGGATGCACCCTTCTTGGTGTGCATCCGTGTTTCGGTCTACTCGATCTCTTCGGGTGGTGAACCTTCGTCACAGCCTGTGTCTCTACACAGGTGCCGGAAGCTGGTTCCACGGTGTATTGGCCTTCCACACTGTGATCTTTTGCAGTCATACTAACGACCGTACCACAATTGAGGCCATCGCACTCACTCGTACATCTACACGGTTGTAAAAGCTCCAAGACGTTCATCAGATGGCCATCTGATGAACAAACGGCATGCATCTTCACTGATCGGCGCTGCCAGCAAATCCGTGGTTGGTATTTTCTAAGCCATGGCAGACCAAGGATGACGTCAAACTTGTCATCCAAATCGAGTACGATGAAGTCATCATCGTGTTGCTTTCCTTCCAGCGTGTAGTGGATTCCCACTATACGCTTCTTCCCTGTTACGGATGCGCCTGTTGCAAGGCACACCGTCATCCTCGTTGGAAGGAACTCTCGCTCAACATAGTTGAGTCTACTATCTTCTAGCTACTGGCGTTGAATAAAACTGTTCGACACCCCACAGTCAACTAGGGCGCGAAGTGACATTCCACTTGTCACTTCTATCTTTAAAGTGATGAGGAACACCTCATCACTATGGGCAGTAATACACAGAGACTGCATGCTAAGAGCAATCTTTGTCAAGAGTCCTGCAAATTATTTTGAATTGATGGATCAGCAGGGTGCTCTACCCCTACTGACCCTGGCCATTTTCTGGCGGTCCGACTTGCTGTCGCGATTCAGCGACATGTTCGGATCCGCGCCTTGGACCTTTCTTCGGCCAATGACGGTCATCACGTCTTGTCTTAGGACGTGATGCGGTGCTGGGGACACTACACTCATGAGCATAGTGTCCAATCTTTCTGACAGCGGTGGCACCTTGCCGCTCGCTTGTGACTCAAAGAGCGATAGTTCTTGCTCTCAACATAATATACGTCCATTGGTTCGGGACCTCCTGTTTTCTGTCGCCTCGTCGGACGATAGTTTGACGAGTTAGCCTCAGACTGTATCAGGCTGAAGTATTCTTGTTCCGCATACGCTATCGCCTTTTCCAGCGTATGGAAGTCCTCTCGGAACATGTAGGTCTTCACCGGTCCATCTACAAGGCCGTAGATGAAAAAGTTGATGAGTGTGTGCTCATCAACAGGGTCTTCCATGACGCTACTCGCAAGGTAGTGTAGGTGTTGTGCGTAATCATGCACATCACGCTTACCTTGCTTGAGCCTCAGAAGTGCAGAGCGTGCTCTGAAATCGGCTCTTGTCGGCTCAAGGTCTCTTTGAGCCGAGACTTCAAGATCTCCAACGACTCAAACACGTTTGAGTCTTAAGCTTGAGCCCTGAGGCCCAAGTCTTTGCTCGTTCTGTCAAATTTGATAGGGCAAAGGTGACTTTCACTCGTCACCCTCGATGTGACGGGTCCTGATAGCATTGTTTAGCTCGACGAACCATCTCGAAAAAGAATCTTCATCAGTTCCCTTGTACCTTGAGATATCAATCTTCAATCAAGGTTTCGGATCGACGCATGTGCGTCGGCCCGCCCATCGACTGATGAGAGCCTTGCTGTTATAGCAAGGCTATCTTCTGTCTTTCGACGGCAAGTTCCCCTTGTAGGAACTTGTTGATAGAATCATGTTGCTGGTCTTTGCTTAGAGACTCCAACATGCTACTGATGGCGGGTTCGCCCATGAGCACACTCATGCGGCCGACTACCTCCCATTCTGAGTCAATCAGATGGGAGTAGCCTTCACGTGTGACGTGAAAGCTGTCGTCTTCTATGTCCAACATGTTCATGTTGGACGGACACTAAATAGTCCTTGGACGGACCACGAAGTGCTACCAGGTGTAACGGGGCACCCTTTGTTTGGGGTGCACGCAACTTCATGTACATTAGTACGTGCAGAGGAAGCTATTATACTTGAACGACTCGGTCAAGTAAAGGGTAAAAAGAGAACTGTACTCAGTGGAGTTAAGCTATCAAAATAACTTTAATATTTACCCAACTTTACTAAACTACATTGTCGTATGACGACAACCTGCTCACCACTCATTGCGCGCGTCTAGCAGCGATTGGTGGTGATCTATGGTTGATATGTCTTTTATCAGCCAATGTTTGAGTAGCGCATGAATATTATCCAAAAAAGGATATAATTCCTTCAATATTATCCATCTTGGAGGGTGTCGGTAGGAAATTGTCATGCTAGACAATATTCCGATTGACACCGTTCGGTGTCAATATCTTGCAACGGGCTACCCCGTTACAGTGGAGGCGTGCCCTGTGCCACGTGTCGCCGTTGTGGCGGTCGTACATCCAAGTCCTGGGGGTCGCACGAGTGGCCAAAAAGGGGAAACTCACGGAACGGATGAGCTCCTAGGGGAGATTGTACGACGAATTGGCGTTCCCCATGCCTTACGATTACGACAGTGATCGCGCTCCACGTCGGTGGGCCACGCTAGCGGAACACGGAGGCCCACCAAATTGGACGGAACGGCTACGAAGGTAATTTTAAAGACACCTACAGTCAGCCCTCGGATTCTTCGGCGCTACCGTCCTGGCTAAAGCTGTGCCAGAGATATATGCACATTGTTAATTCCGTGTAAATAGACCATCTGTTCCCGAAAAAGAGGTGAAGCTTGAAGTAATTGTATTGACGCAAATGAAACAAAAGCTACAAACACCGGAGCTCCCAACCATCTGCGCATCACCCCTGTAGGCACCCACCATTGGGTCGCATAGTTGTCACCAAGGAGTTGCTTGATGTCCACAGCTGCCGTCAGCTGCCGACTGAAGTTCACTCGAGCACCCGTCGCTGCCCCTGGGCCAGAGTTGTTAAACTCTCCAAAGTACACGTTGTCCGTGCTGTTTTCTTGCCACTTTGCCCAACCCGTGGCATTGACCACCTGGCCGAGCCAGCTGTTCTGAAACACGACGCGAGAGAAGAGCCGCCACGGACGACCAAGAAAGGTCTTGCCGATGAGACTGCTGTTGGAGCTGTACACGTTCGCACGGTTGAAGACGTAGTACGAGTCCATGTCTTCACTGGAACGACCGTTGGCAGTGATATATCCCGCATCGATACTGTCGATATCACAGTGCTCAAACCAAGCCACAGCCTTGGTACCGAAAATGAAGTCAACGGCGCCACTGATGTAGGAGTTAGCAAACATGATAAGTCCCTTCTTGGTCAACAAAGTGTCTTGATACCCAGTGAACATGCAGCCGTAGAAGCCGTAGTTGGTGCCACTAACGGCAGCAGCGACCGCTTGTCCCACGTTGCCCGCCGTATTGGCGATGTTGAGGTTGTACACCTTCACGTTGTCCGCCTTGAATAACACCGTACTCGTCAGTGCATTGCGGTCCTGCTTCACTTCGGGAGGCACGTCCTTCTGCGACATTGCGTGAGTAAATGTCACCTGGTTCTCATTATACGACGTCGCGTCGCACGTGGCACCTTGGAGCACGAGAGCACCACAGAGAGGCGGAATGACCACTTGTTCCTTGTACAATCCTGGGTGGATAAAGATCATTTGCAGCTTGTCTGAAGTGAGGTCCAGTCTTGCAACAGCCTCGTTCATGGTCCGGCAGCTGCCTTGGTATCTAGGATCACCCGTAGGATCCACAACGATGGCACCAACCGGCGGCTCGATCCGAGCGTTTGGGCCACTGCACATGATCGGCTTGGCTGCACTCATTGTCATGAAGCTGGCAAGAGCTAGTAGCGATGGCACGAAGATCTTCATGGTTAACGGATTGGGTCTTGATGGAGGCGAGGAAAAACTCAAAGTGAGATTAAATGCGTGCGACGGTCTCTACTTGTTCGGTACGGTCACTGTAACGGGGCACCCTGAAGCTTGTACTGGTGACAGTACAAGCTACTTACTCTGAAGACAGAATAAGGCGGTGCCTCGGAACTTCACGTACACTGGTACGTGCAGAGGAAGACGGTAAGAAGAAGCGAGTACTTGGTTAAAGTAAAAAGTAGAACTGTATTTATAATAGTTAATGTCTGCAATAAATCACTATTTATCTTCATCTAACTATGTCTAAATACAAATGTGTAAATCAATTATCTGCTCACCACTTATTGCGTGCGTCTGTCGTGGCGCGTCTTCGTTGGTTGATATAATGGCCTACATCAACCAATTAGGAACTACTTGGAAGTGCTACAGAATATTTGTCCTTATGACAATATTTTGAGAATATAACTCTTATAGTTATATTCTATAAACAATTTCTTATAAATTGTTATGTAACGATTCACCCCGTTACATCACCCCCCCCTTAACCATCAGTCACTTTAGTGACTGATTGACTAAATGGATACTCGTCCCAAATCATTTGGGACAGAGTTTGCACTTGTTGGTCCGATTCCACTTTCCAACAATTTATCGCATGGCTAACAAGCCCATGCGATGCGCGAGCAAGGCCGCCGAGAGCGCGTCCGTACGTCTCTGTGCGGAAGCCGAAGCAGAAACCACAGCAACTGATGTCTCATCGATTGCTGAAGCGACTCAGCCTGTGTCACTTGGTGATGCAGGCGCTGGTCATGAAGACACTCATGTCTTCACAGAGTATGAGCTCGGTGTCTCGTACTCTCCTGATACGGAAGACGGATCCGTATCGACGGCGATCGAATCCAAGCTGCCTGCCAAGCATGGCATGGATGATGCCATGCGTCGTAGCATCTTTGGTTCATCTGATGAATCAGATGAACCATCGCCAAAGCGAAGGCGCTCGAGATCGCAAGACTCGGGCGCTCACATTGGTGTCGGTTCTCCTATGGACACCACTTTGCAGCGAGATACCAGTACTTCTGTCGGCACGTCGCAGGAAGAGCGGGACCGCAATGTGTTGCGTCTCGCTCCCGAGAAGAAGGCATGGATGCCTCCTAAATCTGTCATGGATCACTTGTCGGCGACGACGAGTGATCGTCATCGAACACGATTGTTCGAGTCGTCAAGGATCTATCACCTTGACCCCAGCGCGAAAAACTATCGCGCTGAACATGAATTCTTCATCGATGCTTTCTTTAGACATCGATGGTACAGTGGGAATCACAAACGTGATGGTCCCTCACTACTTCAAGCGTGGAACGCCTACATCCATAGCCTTGAGGATGTAGGTCGTGACGTTTGGAACGACAAACTTATCAAAGCTCGTGATAAGTTTGAGAAGCGAACCCCTACAGGTGCACGCTACAAGCTGCATCGTCTGTCCAGGAAGAGTGGGTTACCCTGCCTCTCTTGGGGAGACTCGTGCCCGTGTTGTGTGAACAACTCTGCGCGCGCATCTAAGGAGGCTTACCTCCATGATATCCCATGGTGGCGCGTATGTATCTCTAGTGAGATGTACGAAGGGATTGAACACCTACAATCCCTTTAAGACCGTGCCGGGAAGACTTTCTCCGGCGGTCCTTTGCGGCACAGGATGTGCCGCGTCGTACTGCTCAACCAGACCCGGTGCGTCAACCATCAGTTGGGAGCGGGGCTCCCATGTATCCCAGGACGGGGGATAACCGCGCCACTGGACGAGATAACTCGTCCGACGTCCGTTCACGTCGCGGTGTTTCAACAGCTGGTTAACCAGATAGCGCTGTCCACCGTTATAGTCCTCTAATGAAGGTGGAGGAGGGGGAAAACGCTCTCCAAACTATCGCGGGGAAGCGTGTATCCCCGAGAGCCCCTTTGATCGCGTAACGCAAGCGTTACGCGGCGACCTCGAACATGAGCAGGACAGGCGTCTTCAACTGGCGGACATTGTTGAGATGGATTCCCAGCACTCAGCCGGAACCGGTAGAGGCTGTAAAGGTGCACGCAGTGAAGGACTCGACTTCACTCGTTGACAGACTTCGCATGCGCGAACATACTTTCGCACAAACTGATACTAGCGAGGCCAGTAAAAGTCTCGACTCACCGTGAGGTGTGTTTTCTCCCGGCTACGATTTCCTCCTATAGGAGCATCGTGATACTCGAACATGATCCGCAAACGCAGATCAGTAACATCTGGAATGACAACACGTGGTGTGTCACCAGAAACGGCTGTATAATACAGTAAACCCGTCATGAGTAGTGTATCGATCTGATGCAGATCGATACGCAGACGACAATCGTTTCAACGATTCTCGAGATGGTTGTGAGAGATGTGTCAACAACTTCAAAATCTCACCATATTGGGCATACGCCCGCCTCACATCATCATACAACGGTGTAGATGGGACTGAGGACGTCATAACCGCAACAGTGACTGTCTCACTGTTGGGTTTCGCGACTGTTTCAAAGTCGGGACGACGTGAGAGTGCATCAGCGACGACATTAAGTCGTCCTGGTTTGTACTCGACCGTAAAGTTGTATTCTGCAAAGAATTACAACCACCGCGCCATTCGTTGAGAAAGGTGCGGGCTGTTCACTACCGTGCGTAACGACGCATGGTCAGTGTAAACAATGAAGGGTCTATCTCCTAATAGATAGACTCTGAACTTCGCGAGTAAATACTTCATGGTAAGGCGTTCCTTGTCATGCACTGGATAGTTCCGCTCAGCTGGTTGTAGCTGACGCGACTGATAGCAGACGACGCGTTCAACGCCTTCTAGGTCGTACTGCATTAATGCACAGCCGATTGCGAAATCGCTGGCATCACAGACCACATGAAATGGCCTGTCCTGATCGGCAATTGCTAGGACTGGGGATTGTATCAAGCTCTGCTTGATACCATCATATAAGTGCTGACATTCAGCATTTCATAACCAACTCTTGTTCTTTTTCAACAAACGAGAGAGGTGTACAGTCATCTCGGCGTAAATTGCGTGAATACTTATGCAAATACGCCACTAGTCCAAGGAATTTTCGAAGACCTTTGACATCAACCGGCACAGGCCAGTCGGTGATCGCCTTGATCTTTTCGGGATCAGGACGTACACCGTTCTTACCAACGATGCACCCAAGAAGTTGTATTTCGCTTCCTGCAAATATACACTTCTTGAGGTTTGCATACCATTGATGCTTTCGCATGATTATAAGAACCTGTCGGACGTGGTACCTGTGAACCTCAACGTCCGACTTTCCATCCATAGCCCGACTATGGCTGAGTGCGTCATCGAAATTGCTCGGTGCGAATTCTCGTACTGGTCTCAACAGATGTGTATCACATCTGTTGAACGTGGCATGGGCATTACTAAGCCCTTGTGGCATTACTAGCCATTCCCAGAGCATGCCACTAGGTATGCTCACTGCGGTATACGGTATGTCCCGTTCTCGCATAAGGATTTGATAGAAGCCATCCATCAAATCCATGGACGAAAAGATGGTACTCTTTGACATACCATCAATGATTACGTCCTTCCTTGGTATCGGCGTTTGAGCCGGTACCGTTGCAGCATTCAACTTGTTAAATGTATGCACTATCCGCCACCCTCCTGTTGATTTTCTCACACAGAAGGTCGGAGAGCTAAGTGGGGAAGTTGGTTCCCTCACATGGCCCGCAGCTAAGCGATCGGCAAAGAACTTGTCGATCGCAAGTACTTGTTCACGAGGCAGTGGCCACTGCTTCATGACACAGTACTTCAAGCCTGGTTTAATCTCGACCTCGTGTCGAGTACCTTTATCCTTCGGTAACTCGCACGGAACAGTTTCAGGGAATACATCCTTGAACTCAACCAAATCTTCATAGAGAGTATTTGTCTTGAGCGATCCCACAATTGGGAGTCATATTGCTCAAGGCTGAGTGCGTCATCGAAACTTTGTTCGGTGCGAATTCTCGTACTGGTCTCAACAGATGTGTATCACATCTGTTGAACGTGGCATGGGCATTACTAAGCCCTTGTGGAATTACTAGCCATTCCCAGAGCATGCCACTAGGCATGCTCACTGCGGTATACGGTATGTCCCGTTCCCGCATAAGGATTTTGATAGAAGCCATCCATCAAATCCATGGACGAAAAGATGGTACTCTTTGACATACTATGAATAAATACGTCCTTCCTTGGTATTGGCGTCCGAGCCGGTACCGTTGCAGCATTCAACTTGTTAAATGCATGCACTATCCGCCACCCTCCTGTTGCTTTTCGCACACAGAAGGTCGGAGAGCTAAGTGGGGAAGTTGGTTCCCTCACATGGCCCGCAGCTAAACGATCGGCAAAGAACTTGTCGATCGCAAGTACTTGTTTACGAGGCAGTGGCCACTGCTTCATGACACAGTACTTCAAGCCTGGTTTAATCTCGACCTCGTGTCGAGCACCTTTATCCTTCGGTAACTCGCACGGAACAGTTTCAGGGAATTAATCCTTGAACTCAACCAAATCTTCATAGAGAGGATTTGTCTTGAGCGATCCCACGATTGGGAGTCATATTGCTCAACTTGTGTCTTTTCATCAAGGACGCTCTCGTCCATCGATGAACTACTGAGAACTCTCTCGTTCTGAGTAAACACTGTTGCTGACCTTATGTCGGCTACACACTCGTCGTCAGCGACGAGTACGCAGATCTGCTTGACTTTGCCACTACGCAGATCACGCAAGAACCTTTTATGTTCGAGCGTTGGCAACTGAGTGATCTCCGAAGCCAACTTCGGAGGCGCAATCAGATCAAGTGTGTAAGCGCCTACACTTGATCCATCATTGACTAGGACATTCAATGTCTCTGTTATTTCCTGGGGACATATTCCCTCAGGCCTCGAAGGACTTATTCCTTCGGCTTCCCGGGGACTTATTCCCGCGGGTTTCGGGAAACTTATTTCCGCCGTATTTGTAATATCGGGACTTATCCCCTTAACTTCCTCTAGCTGTGGTTGCGCAACCACAGCGAGATCCTCTACGAAAGACTCTCCAGTCGATCTAGGATTATCGTTTCGCTTAACCTGAGCGATCGATTGTTTCTCTTCTAGATGTTCCCCGCTAGGGATACATCTTTGTCCCGGTCCACTCGACTTACTCGAGTGGTGGACCTTCGGCGCAGCCTGTGTTTCCTCACAGCCGCCGGAACTTTGCTCCGAAGTATAACCGTTTGTTACACTAAGGTTTCGTGCAGTCGTACTAACGACCGTACCACAAGTGAGGCCATCGCACTTACTCGTAGTACATCCTCACGCTAGTGGAAGCTCCAAAACGTTCATCAGATGGCCATCTGATGAACAAGCGGCAGGCATCGTTACGGTTCAATGTTGCCAGTTTACTCGTGGTTCGTACCTTCTGAGCCACGGTATTCCAAGGAGGACATCAAATTTGTCATCCAAGTCCAATACGATAAAGTCATCGTCATATTGGGTATCTTCTAGCGTATAGTGGATCTTCACTATACGCTTCATGACGGTTACGGATGCGCCTGTCGCAAGACGTACCGTCATCCTCGTAGGAGGTGTGTCACATGCACTAAACTTAAAATGACCATCTTCTAGCGATTGGCGTCGCACAAAATTGTTCGACGCCCCACAATCGACTAGAGCTCGAAGGGAAAACTTATTTGTCACTTCGAGTTTCAAGGTAATGAGTGAGACCTCATTACCTAGAGCAGCAACGCACAACGTTTGTGTGTTGGGAGCAACCTTCATCAAAAGGCCTGCAAATTCTCTTGACGTTGCTGGACCAGTAGGGTGCTCCGCACCTACTGATCCTGTCCGTTTTTTGACGGTCCATCCCGTTGTTGCGTCTTTGCACCAACAGCGGACCCGCGTCCCTGCCCCTTTCTCATGGGTGGACGGTCATTACGCCCAGTGTTGCGAGACACTGGACGAGGGGCACTACACTCGTAAGCATAGTGTCCTGTCTTTTGACATCTGTTGCATTTCTGCAACTTCTTGTAGTCTGTAGAGCGAGCCTTCTCGCTCTCTACATAACAGAGTTCCATCGGCTCTGGACCTCCGTTGTCATATCGTCTCGGTTGACGATATGATGTCGAGCTGGCGCGAGCCTGTCTCAGACTGAAGTCTTCCTGCTCCGCAATGGAAATGGCTTGTTCTAGTGAATCTAGTTCAAGCCGGAACAGGTAAGTCTTGAGGGGACCATCCGCAAGACCCTGCATGAACACCGAAACCAACGTGTGTTCATCCACCGGATTGGAACTTATACAACTCGTGAGATGTCGTATATGTTGTGCGTAAGCGTGAACATCACGCTTACCCTGTTTGAGCTTCAAGAGTTCGGTTCGAGCCCTGAACTCAGCTCTAGGCGGTTCAAACGTTTGTCTGAGCCGCGACTTGAAGACTCCCAATAACCCAAACGCATATGGGTCGTGCAACTTGAGTCCCAAAGCCCAAGTCTTGGCACGTCCTGCCAGATTTGATTGGGCAAATGCAACTCGCATTTCCCCATCGTCGATGCGACGCGCCCTTATGGCGTCGTCTAATTCGACGAGCCATCTCAAGAGGGAGTCCTCTTCGACTCCCCTATACTTGGAGATGTCAATCTTCAAGGTCTCGGGTCGACGCGAGTGCATCGACCCACCAGCAGCAGCCTGCTACTGTCTCAACAGTTCAAACTGTTGAGCACCCTGTTCTCTCAGCAACTCTGATCGTTGAGAACCTTGTTGGTGAAGCAAGGCTACTTTCTCTCGTTCTGCGTCAAGTTCATTTTGAATGAACTTGGCGATAGTAGCATGTTGGGCATCTCTATTGAGAGCCTCTAGCATGACGCTAACAGCATGGATGCCCATGGTCGAACCCATCCGTTCAACCGCATCCCATTCGACATCGCTCAAATGGGAGTAGCCGTCACGCGTAGCGTGAAAGCTTTGGTCATCTTCATCATCCAACATATTCATGTTAGATGTGAACGTGGTCCTTGGACGGACTACGAAGTGCTACCAGGTGTAACGGGGCACCCTGAAGCTTGTACTGATGACAGTACAAGCTATTTATTTCGATGACAGAATAAGGCGGTGCCGCGTAACTTCACGTACACTCGTACGTGCAGAGGAAGACGGTAAGGAGAAGCGAGTACTTGGTTAAAGTAAAAAGTAGAACTGTATTTATTATAGTAATGTCTGTTAATAAATCACTGTTGATCCTTCTCTGACTATGTCTGAATACAGATGTGTATATCAACTATCTGCTCACCACTCGTTGCGTGCGTCTGTCGTGGCGCGTCTTCGTTGGATGATATAATGGCCTATATCAACCAATTAGGAACTACTCGTAAGTGCTGCAGAATATTGTCCTTATGACAATATTCTGAGAATGTAACTCCTGTAGTCATATTCTATGAACAATTTCTTATAAATTGTTATGTAACGGTTCAACCCGTTACAGGAACTCTTTTTTAATCACCTTCAGCAATGGCCAAGGCCAGAAACGGAAGTGATTAACTTTGGAGATTTCAACTGCGTCTAAAGTCCCCATCTAGACAGGCTGGGGGCTTGCGGTCAGGTCGACCGGAAAGCTTAGCCTTAACTACGTTACTAAACACTTTAGATCCGGAAGACGCCACAACCCTGACGGGGGCGGCGCTGGAGGACGAAAACATCGACCCGACGGAACATTTCACGTACTGAAATGCGCGATCAGCTAGTAGGATCGACCGTTTCTATACCAGCAAGACTTGGACAGCTACTGTTTAATAGGTGCAGGTAAGCTTACCTGTCTTTACCTCGGTTCACCAACAAGTCACTTTACACGTGGCAGACAACGGGTGGCGGCGGCAGCATCAACGTAAGGAAAAGATAGTACGGTATCCTATTCTCTCGGAGACACCAGAGCGCGTACACGCGGAGTTTTTAAACGAGCTCATCCGAGCCGAGGTTGGACGAGATACAACCTTAGAAGCTTGGGACGCAACAATCTATAATTGCAAAGCAAGCTCTAAGAGAATAAAAAAGCGGGAATCTCAACGGACGCGTCGATTGCGGCGCCGGGTCCAGGGGCATGCGCGGGCTCATCTCTCCACTCGCCACAGTTTAATGCAGAGTATTCAGGAAGAACTCCGTACCGCACAAACCATTCGACAGGTATTACGGTTGGAGCGGACTACGGACCGTCTCAGATGGCAGGTTAAGCGGGTATCCAACTGGGAACGAGATCAATCTATATCGGGTCTTGAACAGATAAACAGCCAGCCGTTCCAACCGGGGAGCACAAATGCCAACCATTTCGCGTCCGAATGGAGCCCGGTCCTATGTAGGACGCACAACACCGTCCCAGTACCATCACTTCATCCGACCTTGCGAAATTTTGTTACGCTGCCGGTCGATCGAGTTCTCTCCGCGGATGCAAATGCGCTCTTGATGGATCACATAACGCTGAACGAAGTCCTTGCGGCGGTTGCGTCGCTTAATCGCCATAAAATTGCAGGGTCTGATGGAATCAATAATGACTTCCTTTAAGAATTTCAAGCGCTGCTAGCTCCAGCGCTTGTCAATATCGGCAACGAAATACTGCAAGGCCGTACTCCGCCCGCCTCTTTCTTGGAAGGGATGATAATACCTCTCCGCAAGAAGGGGGATCCAAAAGACGCGATGGATTACAGACCGATCGCCTTATTACAAACAGGTTACAAAATTGTCGCGAAGGTGTTATCCCACAGAGTCCAACAGGTGATCGGGGTGCCCATTCAAGACACGCAACCGGGATTTGTTCACGACAGGCAAATGTCTAAGACGGTTATGATAATGATGGCGCATATAAGCTCAGCGAGGGCCGAACCACAACGTGATATAAATGATAGCCGCGTCATCTTGCTCCTGGATTTCCGTAAGGATAATGACACGGTCTCAAAGGAATTCTTATATGATGTATTACGGTTGTTTGGCTTCACGGAAGGCTTTGTACAGCTAATCCGCCGTCTACACGAGGGCACCACAGCACGCTTCCTAGTGAACGGACTGCTCTCAGACCCAATCCCTGTGCGTACGGGGATCCGACAGGGGTGCCCTTTGGCTCAGCTGCTGTTTCTACTTGTAGCGGAGATACTGGCCATTGCCATACTGCAACATCCATAAATCAGAGGGATACGGCATCCCAGCTTTCCGGACGAGGAGCAGAAATTTTCGGCGTTTGTGGAAAATTTGACGGTATTTCTCGAGAGGGCAGATCAGCTACCGCAGGTGCTGACCATCGTGCAGCGATTCGGGAAACTATCAGGGCTTTTTGTTCAGCCAGCCAAAAGTGTGCTAATACCTCTTAATACAGCGGTTGAGATTACGGCGTATGTAACGGGGTGAATCGTTACATAACAATTTATAAGAAATTTTTAATAGAATATAACTATAAGAGTTATATTCTCAGAATATTGTCATAAGGACAATATTCTGCAGCACTTACGAGTAGTTCCTAATTGGTTGATATAGGCCATTATATCAACCAACGAAGACGCGCCACGACAGACGCACGCAACGAGTGGTGAGCAGATAGTTGATATACACATCTGTATTCAGACATAGTCAGAGAAGGATCAACAGTGATTTATTAACAGACATTACTATAATAAATACAGTTCTACTTTTTACTTTAACCAAGTACTCGCTTCTCCTTACCGTCTTCCTCTGCACGTACGAGTGTACGTGAAGTTACGCGGCACCGCCTTATTCTGTCATCGAAATAAATAGCTTGTACTGTCATCAGTACAAGCTTCAGGGATGCCCCGTTACACCTGGTAGCACTTCGTAGTCCGTCCAAGGACCACGTTCACATCTAACATGAATATGTTGGATGATGAAGATGACCAAAGCTTTCACGCTACGCGTGACGGCTACTCCCATTTGAGCGATGTCGAATGGGATGCGGTTGAACGGATGGGCTCGACCATGGGCATCCATGCTGTTAGCGTCATGCTAGAGGCTCTCAATAGAGATGCCCAACATGCTACTATCGCCAAGTTCATTCAAAATGAACTTGACGCAGAACGAGAGAAAGTAGCCTTGCTTCACCAACAAGGTTCTCAACGATCAGAGTTGCTGAGAGAACAGGGTGCTCAACAGTTTGAACTGTTGAGACAGTAGCAGGCTGCTGCTGGTGGGTCGATGCACTCGCGCCGACTCGAGACCTTGAAGATTGACATCTATAAGTATAGGGGAGTCGAAGAGGACTCCCTCTTGAGATGGTTCGTCGAATTGGATGACGCCATAAGGGCGCGTCGCATCGACGATGGGGAAATGCAAGTTGCATTTGCCCAGTCAAATCTGGCAGGACGGGCCAAGACTTGGGCACTGGGGCTCAAGTTGCACGACCCATATGCGTTTGGGTCGTTGGAAGCCTTCAAGTCGCGGCTCAGACAAACGTTTGAACCGCCTAGAGCTGAGTTCAGAGCTCGAACTGAACTCTTGAAGCTCAAACAGGGTAAGCGTGATGTTCACGCTTACGCACAACATATACGACATCTCACGAGTTGTATAAGTTCCAATCCGGTGGATGAACACACGTTGTTTTCGGTGTTCATGCAGGGTCTTGCAGATGGTCCCGCCAAGACTCACCTGTTCCGGCTTGAACTAGATTCACTAGAACAAGCCATTTCCATTGCGGAGCAGGAAGACTTCATTCTGAGACAGGCTCGCGCCAGCTCGACATCATATCGTCAACCGAGACGATATGACAACGGAGGTCCAGAGCCGATGGAACTCTGTTATGTAGAGAGCGAGAAGGCTCGCTCTACAGACTACAAGAAGTTGCAGAAATGCAACAGATGTCAAAAGACAGGACACTATGCTTACGAGTGTAGTGCCCCTCGTCCAGTGTCTCGCAACACTGGGCGTAGTGACCGTCCACCCATGAGAAAGGGGCAGGGACGCGGGTCCGCTGTTGGTGCAAAGACGCAACAACGGGATGGACCGTCAAAAAACGGACAGGATCGGTAGGTGCGGAGATACCTACTGGTCCAGCAACGTCAAGAGAATTAGTAGGCCTCTTGATGAAGGTTGCTCCCAACACACAAACGTTGTGTGTTGCTGCTCTAGGTAATGAGATCTCACTCATCACCTTGAAACTCGAAGTGACAAATAAGTTGTCCCTTCGAGCTCTAGTCGATTGTGGGGCGTCTAACAATTTTGTGCGACGCCAATCGCTAGAAGATGGTCACTTTGAGTTCAGTGAATGTGACACACCTCCTACGAGGATGACGGTACGTCTTGCGACAGGCGCATCCGTAACCGTCATGAAGCGTATAGTGAAGATCCACTATACGCTAGAAGATACCCAATATGACGATGACTTTATCGTATTGGATTTGGATGACAAATTTGATGTCCTCCTTGGAATACCGTGGCCCAGAAGGTACGAACCACGAGTAAACTGGCAACATCGAACAGTAACGATGCCTGCCGCTTGTTCATCAGATGGCCATCTGATGAACGTTTTGGAGCGTCCACAAGCGTGTGGATGTACTACGAGTAAGTGCGATGGCCTCACTTGTGGTACGGTCGTTAGTACGACTGCACGAAACCTTAGTGTAACAAACGGTTATACTTCGGAGCAAAGTTCCGGCGGCTGTGAGGAAACACAGGCTGCGCCGAAGGTCCACCACTCGAGTAAGTCGAGTGGACCGGGACAAAGATGTATCCCTAGCGGGGAACATCTAGAAGAGAAACAATCGATCGCCCAGGTTAAGCGAAACGATAATCCTAGATCGACTGGAGAGTCTTTCGTAGAGGATCTCGCTGTGGTTGCGCAACCACAGCTAGAGGAAGTTAAGGGAATAAGTCCCGATATTACAAATACGGCGGAAATAAGTTCCCCGAAACCCGCAGGGAATAAGTCCCCGGGAAGCCGAAGGAATAAGTCCTTCGAGGCCTGAGGGAATATGTCCCCAGGAAATAACAGAGACATTGAATGTCATAGTCAATAACGGATCAAGTGTAGGCGCTTACACACTTGATCTGATTGCGCCTCCGAAGTTGGCTTTGGAGATCACTCAGTTGCCAACGCTCGAACATAAAAGGTTCTTGCGTGATCTGCGTAGTGGCAAAGTCAAGCAGATCTGCGTACTCGTCGCTGACGACGAGTGTGTAGCCGACATAAGGTCAGCAACAATGCTTACTGAGAACGAGAGAGTTCTCAGTAGTTCATCTATGGACGAGAGTGTCCTAGATGAAAAGACACGAGTTGAGCAATATGACTCCCAATCGTGGGAATCGCTCAAGACAAATCCTCTCTACGAAGATTTGGTTGAATTCAAGGATGTATTCCCTGAAACTGTTCCGTGCGAATTACCGAAGGATAAAGGTATTCGACACGAGGTCGAGATTAAACCAGGCTTGAAGTACTGTGTCATGAAGCAGTGGCCACTGCCTCGTGAACAAGTACTTGCGATCGACAAGTTCTTTGCCGATCGCTTAGCTGCGGGCCATGTGAGGGAATCAACTTCCCCACATAGCTCTCCGACCCTCTGTGTGCGAAAAGCAACAGGAGGGTGGCGGATAGTGCACGCGTTCAACAAATTGAATGCTGCAACGGTACCGGCTCAAACGCCGATACCGAGGAAGGACGTAATCATTGATGGTATGTCAAAGAGTACCATCTTTTCGTCCATGGATTTGATGGATGGCTTCTATCAAAATCCTTATGCGGGAACGGGACATACCGTATACCGCAGTTAGCAGGCCTAGTGGCATGCTCTGGGAGTGGCTAGTAATGCCACAAGGGCTTAGTAATGCCCCTGCCACGTTCAACAGATGTGTATCACATCTGTTGAGACCAGTACGCGAGTTCGCGCCGAGTTATTTCGATGACGTATTCATCCATAGTCGAGCTATGGATGGAAAGTCGGACGTTGAGGTTCATAGGTACCACGTCGAACAGGTTCTTACAATCATGCGAAAGCATCAATTGTATGCAAACCTCAAGAAGTGTTTATTTGCCGCAAGCGAAATACCACTTCTTGGGTGCATCGTTGGTAAGAACGGAGTACGTCCTGATCCCGAAAAGATCAAGGCGATCACCGACTGGCCTGTGCCGGTTGATGTCAAAGGTCTTCGAAAATTCCTTGGGCTAGCGGCGTATTTGCATAAGTATTCACGCAATTACGCCGAGATGACTGTGCACCTCTCTCGTTTGTTGAAAAAGAACGAGAGGTGGTTATGGAACGCTGAATGTCAGCGCTCCTTTGAGGGTATCAAGCAGAGCTTGATACAATCCCCAGTCCTAGCAATAGCCGATCAGGACAGGCCATTTCATGTGGTCTGTGATGCCAGCGATTTCGCAATCGGCTGTGCATTAATGCAGTACAACCTAGAAGGCGTTGAACGCGTCGTCTGCTATCAGTCGCGTCAGCTGCAACCAGCTGAGCGGAACTATCCAGTGCATGACAAGGAACTCCTTGCCATGAAGTATGCACTCGCGAAGTTCATAGTCTATCTATTAGGAGATAGACCCTTCGTTGTTTACACTGACCATGCGTCATTACGCACGGCAGTGAACAGCCCGCACCTTTCACAACGAATGGCGCGGTGGTTGTCATTCTTTGCGGAATACAACTTTACGGTCGAGTACAAACCAGGACGACTTAATGTCGTCGCTGATGCACTCTCACGTCGTCCCGACTTTGAAACAGTCGCGAAACCCAACAGTGAGACAGTCACTGTTGCGGTTATGACGTCCTCAGTCCCATCTACACCGTTGTATGATGATGTGAGGCGGGCATACGCCCAAGATGGTGAGATAGTGAAGTTGTTGACACATCTCTCCCAACCATCTCGAGAATCGTTAAAACGATTGTCGTCTGCGTATCGATCTGCATCAGATCGATACACTACTCGTAACGGTTTACTGTATTATACAGCCGTTTCTGGTGACACACCACGTGTTGTCATTCCAGATGATACTGATCTGCGTTTGCGGATCATGTTCGAGTATCACGATGCTCCTATAGCAAGACATCGTGGCCGAGAGAAAACATATCTCACGGTGAGTTGAGACTTTTGCTGGCCCCGCCAGTATCAGTTTGTGCGAAAGTATGTTCGCGCATGTGAAGTCTGCCAACGAGTGAAGTCAAGTCCTTCACTGCGTGCACCTTCACAGCCTCTACCGGATTCCGGCTGAATGCTGGGAATCCATCTCAATGGATTTCGTCTTCGGGTTACCCAAAGACGCACGCGGGAATGCGGGTATTCTCGTATTTGTTGACAGATTCAGCAAAATGGTACACCTTGTGGCTGTACCAGAGTCAATCACGGCAAGTGGCTGTGCTTGTGTCTTTATTGACACCATCTTCCGACTTCATGGGTTGCCCCGTGAACTCGTATCAGACAGAGATCCACGATTCACTGCTGATTTCTGGCGTTCCGTGTTCAAATCACTCGGAACGCGCTTGAAGATGTCTACATCTGATCATCCAGAGTCAGATGGTCAGACGGAACGTGCCAATCGTGTCCTTGAAGAGATACTTCGAGATTACGTACACTCCTTTAAGAGTTGGAGTGAGTTTTTGCCAATGGTAGAGTTTGCCATCAACAACTCGGTGCATGCGTCCACGACACATACACCGTTTTACGTGAATGGCTTGCGCCATCCGCGTGTACCCACCTTACTAGAGTGTAACTCTGGGTTAAGGGGGGTAGGGACTCGCGCGAGCAAACACCGATTTGGTTCACGCTCATCACGCTCTGACGAAGAAGTCATTGCGTTTGATGCCGATATCGATAACATCGATATCGAAGAAGATGATGCCAGTGAGAGTGCGGAAGCCTTCACTGAAGAAACGATTGATGTTGCTGCAGTGCACTCCCAGCGCACTGAAGCTAAGGAGTCATCAGATGAGTTCATACTGGCTCGTGAAACGGTAGTCCGTTTTGTGCAAGACTCCATCGCCGAAGCGGTGGATAAGCAAAAGCAAAACGCTGACAAGAATGGAAGGGCAAACACTCTTTTATTTAATAAAGGTGACTTAGTCCTACTGTCTACGGTTAATCTACCAAAGCATGTAGTGACTAACTTGGGTAGTAGTAAACTTCTACCCAAGTACATCGGCCCATTTCGTGTATTGCACCGCCTAGGCAATGCATACACGATCGAGTTACCACGTAAGATGCGAACGCATCCCACGTTTTACGTTGGTCGGCTTAAGCCGTACCATCAGTACGCTGCTTCTTCCAATGAAGAACGCCCTTGCGCTCAAGCATCTCGCAGAGAGCCTTGTGCTCCCGATGGTGGGCATCAACAAGGGTCTGAAGAGCAGTTATCTCATCCCGAGACCGGTCCATATCCACACAAGCTACCCTTAGCTCGTCACGAAGAGATGTCAGAGATCTCTCGTTCTCAAGCTGAGCAAAGGCAAACTCAGCTCGATGCTTCGAGGCAGTGTCCGCCATTTGGAGACGCCTATCCCGCTCATGTTCGAGATCGCCGCGTAACCCTTGCGTTACGCGATCAAAGAAGCTCTCGGGAACACACCGATCCACATGATCGTGTGGAGAGCGTCTTTCCTCCTCCTCCACCTCCATTAGAGGACTCTCGCGGTGGCCAGCGCTATCTAGTTGAGCAGCTGTTGAACCACCGCGACGTGAACGGACGTCGGACGAGTTATCTCGTCCGGTGGCGCGGCTATCCCCCGTCCTGGGATTCTTGGGAGCCCTGCTCCCAACTGATGATCGACGTACTGGGTCTGGTTGAGCAGTACGACGCGGCACATCCTGTGCCGCAGAAGGACCGCCGGAGAAAGTCTTCCCGGCACGGTCTTAAAGGGATTTCAAGTTGTCAATCCCTTCGTACATCTCAATAGAGATACGTACGCGCCACCACGGGCTATTAAGGGAGGTAAGCCTCCTTAGGTGCTCGCGCAGAGTTGTTCACACAACACGGGCACGAGTCTCCCCAAGAGAGGCAGGGTAATCCTTTCTCCCTTGATAGACGATGCAGCTTATAGCGTGCACCTGTCGGGGTTCGCTTCTCAAACTTATCACGAGCTCTGATAAGTTTGTCGTTCCAAACATCACGACCTACATCCTCAAGATTATGGATGTGAGGCGTTCCACGCTTGAAGCAGTGAGGGACCATCACGCTTGTGATTCCCCCTGTACCATCGATGTCTAAAGAAAGCATCGATGAAGAATTCATTCTCAGCGCGATAGTCTTTCGCACAGGGGTCAAGGTGATGGATCCTTGACGAATCGAACAACCGTGTTCGATAACGATCACTCGTCGTCGCCGAAAAGTGATCCATGACTGATTTAGGAGGCATCCATGCCTTCTTCTCAGGAGCGAGACGCAACACATTGCGGTCCCGCTCTTCCTGCGACGTGCCGACAGAAGTACTGGTATCTCGCTGCAAAGTGGTGTCCATAGGAGAACCGACACCAATGTGAGCGCCCGAGTCTTGCGATCTCGAGCGCCTTCGCTTTGGCGATGGTTCATCTGATTCATCAGATGAACCAAAGATGCTACGACGCATTGCATCATCCATGCCACGCTTGGCAGGCGGCTTAGATTCAATCGCCGTCGATACGGATCCGTCTTCCGTATCAGGAGAGTACGAGACACCGAGCTCGTACTCTGTGAAGACACGAGTGTCTTCATGACCAGCGCCTGCGTCACCAAGTGACACAGGCTGGGTCGTTTCAGCAACCGATGAGACATCAGTTTCTGTTGTTTCTGCTTCGGCGTCCGCACAGAGACGTGCAGACGCGCTCTCGGCGGCCTTGCTCGCGCATCGCATGGGCTTAATAACCATGCGATGAAATGTTGGAAAGTGGACTCGGACCAACAAGTGCAAACCCTGTCCCAAATGATTTGGGACGAGTATCCATTTAGTCAATTAGTCACTAAAGTGACTGATAGTTAGGGGGGGTGTTTTAACGGGGTGAATCGTTACATAACAATTTATAAGAAATTGTTACTAGAATATAACTATAAAAGAGTTATTCTCAGAATGTTGTCATAAGGACAAATATTCTGCAGCATTTACGAGTAGTTCCTAATTGGTTGATATAGGCCATTATATCAACCAACGAAGACGCGCCACGACAGACACACGCAATGAGTGGTGAGCAGATAGTTGATATACACATTTGTATTTAGACACAGTTAGATGAGGATAAATAGTGATTTATTACAGACATCGACTATTACAAATACAGTTTCTACTTTTTACTTTATCCAAGTACTCGCTTCTCCTTACCGTCTTCCTCTGCACGTACCAGTGTACGTGAAGTTCCTAGGCACCGCCTTATTCTGTCGTAAGTAGCTTGTACTGCCATCAGTACGAGCTCGAGGGTGCATCGTTACACAGAAGCAAAGATAGCAGTTTAATGCTGCTACAGCTGTGTGGAGCTGAGTTAGTCGTTCGAAGCTCCACACATCGCAGGGCGAGTGCACTAACGTTTGAACGTAAGTCGAAACGCATTAACGGTACACCGTGGTGAACACGCTGGGCTGACGGTCATAATAAAAGACAGAAAAAAGTTTGTAGAAATGCCGTATTGATGTCGGGGAAACTAGAAAGCCGAGACCTTTTCGCTTCCAACCTGGATGTCGTACACCATTTGCGTCGTTTGAGGGACAATCCCATGAAATCTTGACGGACCCCTTCCGTCTGTTTATTCGTGGTTTGCAAATGCACGGACAGACGGTATGACGTCGTCGGGTAAAACAATTCCATCCGACAACTTATCTTTGTTGCATCTAGCAGTTCGTGTCCACACTAACCTCCATGCCATAGTGTTAGAACTCGGTGTCTTTGTGAACCAAATGACGAGTCAACTGCGCCAAGAACATTCGTATGAACGTATGCGTGTCCGATAAAAGGTCAAGCGGAAGTGTATTAAAGCGCAGGAAAATAACGACTACAACCTTTGAAGCTCTCGACCAAAGAGCAGCACTACACGTGTACGTACGCTGAGTCGATCCACCACTGACTCTTAAGGTCGACCTTGAAGAAATCCTTCAAAGCCACAGCTGCCTTTAGCTGGGTGCCCAAGCCAGGTCGACCGTTCCCCTTCGCCGCACCTGGGCCAGTGTTTTTAAACTCGCCAAACTCTACGTGTTTCGTGCTGTCACCGTTCCAGTCCGACCAACCAGCGGCATTGACCACGTCACTGAGTTCGCTGTTCTGAAACACGACGCGAGCATAAGGACGCCACGGACGACCAAGGTAGGACATGCCCGGTTTGTACCCCTTTTTCGAGCTGTAGATATTCGCGTGGTTGAAGACGTAATACGAGTCCATGTCGGCGCTGGAACGACCGTTGGCAGTGATATATCCCGCATCGATACAGTCGATATCGCAGTGCTCGAACCAAGCCACGGCCTTGGTGCCGAAAATGAAGTCAACGGCGCCACTGATGTAGGAGTTAGCAAACATGATAAGCCCCTTCTTGGTCAACAAAGTGTCTTGATACCCAGTGAACTTGCAGCCGTAAAAGCCGTAGTTGGTGCCGTCCACAGTCGCCGCGACAGCTTGTCCCGTGTTGCCCGCCGTGTTGGCGATGTTGAGGTTGTAGACTTTCACGTTGTTCGCCTTGAAGTGCATGGCGCTGGTCTCTGCATCGTGATCGCTCGTCACAGTCTTCGGTAAGTTCTTCTGCGACATTTTGTGGGTGATCGTCGCCTGGTTCTTCGCATACGACGTTGTATCACACGTGGCGCCTTGGAGCACAAGTTTGCCTTTGATAGGCGGAATGACCACGCGTCCCTCGTAAACACCAGAGAAGACGAAGATCGTCTGATCCCCCTCCAACGTGCGGTCCAGTCTTGCAACAGCGTCGATCATGTTCCGGAAGCTGCCTTGGTATTTAGGATCACCCGTAGGATCCACAACGATGGCACCAACCGGCGGCTCAATCCGAGCGTTTGGGCCACTGCACTTGATCGGATTGGCTGCGATCATGGTCATGATGCTGGCAAGAGCCAGCAGCGATGACACGAAGATCTTCATGGTTATCGGATTGGGTCTTGATGGAGGCGAGGAAAAACTCAAAGTGAGGATTCCGGTGCGACGGTCTCGACTTGTTCGGGGCGGTCACGATGCAGCATCAGACGACCCGAATGTCACAGGCAGAACGTGCTTTGGAGCTGGAGATTTCAGGATGGGAAGGGATCCCATGCTGTCTATCTATCTATCGACAATGTCGATGGTAAGACGTCGCAAACATGGATCTATTCAGCAGCAAGTGTACAGTGGAAGTGGTCCGGCTCGATCTTCAGTGACTTCATCATCATGTCGCGCGTACATCTGGTGGAGTCCAGAGTAGCTGGGCAAATCGCAGACTCACTCGGCGCGATGGTAAAAGTGCCTTTTCCTTCGGAATCGACACTTCTCGCGATTGACACGCACGTTGCGTGTCTTATGTTTGAGTTATGATGGGCCTCGCTTGTCCATTGTTCATTATCGACATGGAGTTTGGGAATGACCGCCGGTCTATTCATGCAGCAAGAAGTACGCAAGTTTGGTGCTTGGGTAGCTCTTACGGTCAATGTTCATTATGCAGACTTTACATCGACTCGACAGGCAGTCAAAACCATGTGATTCGGCTGAATGATCATCATGTTGAAGTTGTCATGGTGTCATGTCTCGCGGCAGCAAAGCAGTATGAGACCTGTACTGCCTGTACATTGCGAGCCTAGAGAACGTCGCAGATCAGCCCGTTGTCGCCTCTTTTTCCCTTCTCCCGACTCTTTCTCGGTAAACACATGTAGGCCGTCACCCGCTCGAATCGACGACGCTCATCAGAAGCAGTTTTGCCTGCTACCTCCCATCCCAAAATCTCGGTGATTGCGTGTTGGATAGACGAATTGCGACGCACCGCAACCCACATCCCGATCTCTGCTGGCGCGAGGACGTGGATACAGCAAGATTTAAAACCGTGATGTGCGACAGATCTCCTCATCTCGACCAAATGGCGGCAAGCTTCGACGGTGCGAGTCGTCAATGATGGGACTGCTTCTATGTTGCACCATCGACTCCACACGACCACAAAGGGCTATTACATGCATGAAGCTGGGTGTGTTATTCCGAATTGGTCGCAGCGCTTCGCACTAGGGTACGAGGACTCTTTCATATGTGTACTTGCATCAGCAAAACCATACGATGGCCAGTGGACCCTGCAGTGGGTAGCACATCGTCGCATTGTGCCTATCCGGCGATAGAAGCGTCGACATCTTCAGATAGGACATACTAGCACGACAGCTCCCATTAGCATCGTCGATTTGAGCGGGCGGAGGAATGGAAAGGGTCGAAATTCATCGAACTGTAAAGACGGTGCGAAGTAACGACAGCGTGTAAATTTGCGACGGACTTAGCTTGGCAGTAAACAGACAGCTCCCAAGATGCTTCTTTTCGACGAGACATGCCATGACTACCTCTTTACCACTTTATCATGCACGTCGTTGAGCAAAGTGCACAGAATTGGCTGCTCAAAGAACCTATCAAACATTAGCGCAGTCGGTGCGTGTCCACCGGTATTAAACGGGCATTAAGCTGGTGTGTGTGTTAATTTGTGAGGGTTCCATGCTGCTCAACTAGGCCTACTGAAAATGACAAAGGTTGTCTGATTCCTTGTTAGATGGCCACGAGTGAGCAAAGAACATGTGCACAGACACGAAGCATAAGTGCAAGCGTGACGAAGTGTCGATATGGCAGAAAAGGCGCTGCTACCACCGTGCAGGAAGAGTCTGCGATCTGCCCTGGCACCCCGAACTCGACCAGACGCATGCGCGACATGGCTCAGTGTACACGGTAACTCAAATGCATCTACATTTACTGCTGAATACACATGCGTGGCCCTCAGGCTATCAATTTATCGCAAATTTTCTACATCACCAAATGTAAAAGAACATCCATAATCTAACAAGAGAACGCTCTCTATTTAAAAACTCCATTCTACTAGACAGACTTTCTGCTAATAGTAGAATTTCGCGATCATCTGTTGTGTTCCAATTTCCAGTTTGGAGTATTGTTCATCAGCGACGTCGCAAGGGCAAGACGATAGCATGACGATGGATTCTACATTGGAAAAGATGGAAGTGAAGACGATACGGGATTAATATGCTTTCGGGACAATGTTAACGACATCACTTGCTTTCACGAAGACAGTCGTCGCCCACAACTGGTCCATTTTATCCTTCGCGACACCACAAGGTACATTGCATTATTTTACGATCATGTATGCGCACATGCCCGCAGAGCAGCTCCGGAGTGATGCGTCACGGCCATCGTGACCTTCTTGTTGTCTCCATCTCGTTATACACGCCGTGCCGCCAGTGGTGTGGACAGCATTATCATAGTCATGCATCGGAGGTGGCCAGAATGCCAGAGATAAATCGTCTACCAGGATCCATCTTTCGGCACGTTCTTGTTAAAGATGATCGCGATGTCATACAACCACTTCACTTTCGTGATTCGCAATTAATTCTTGGTGCATGGCGGCCTACACAACCCGTGATGAAGCGGGAGCGAAAGGGGTTGCAGTGTCAGTAGCGGCTTCGACAGCGTGCACAGAAAAATCACTGGCAGCTTCAATTGTAACAGAGGAGGCCGTTGCAGGAGCAATTGAAAGATCGACATCGTGAGCTGCATTATTAGAGGTAAGGGTGACATGGCTTAACATGATGAAGACGATAAAGTTAAAAATACGGAGAGGGCGGCCTGACTGAGGCGTTGCCTCGTAGCATAAAGTGGATGTTCTCTTAACATTTGCTAGCATAGCAAATACAAATGAA